CTTTTGGAATTCGTTGTTTTCCTCATGCCACTTCATCTTCTTCATCCCGTAGGAGGCATGATTCACCATCTGACACATTACTTCCTCCATCCTCATGCAGGCGTCAAGTTTCACTAGTGCCACCTCGTATTGTAGATGTTGCTGATCCAATCCCACCATCTAGTACTGATGTTGTTGATCCAATTCCACCTCATACTGATGATGTTGTTGATCTAATTCCACCTCCAACTGCTAATGTTGTTGATCTAATTCCACCTCCTACTGCTGATGTTGTTGATCCAGTGCCACCTCCAGAGGGTGATACTACTACGGATGCTAAGCCAGAGGCATTTGGAGGAGGCCTAGTTAATTTGTCATTACTGTCTTTGTATCCAAACCATACTGCGATATATATCTGGGACAAAGAGGTAACATTAGTTGGATTCATTATTTTTTTTACTTTAGTTTTAATTGACAAATTTATGACATTTATTATTATATTTAAGGAACGTGATTTACAGAAGTTTCTTAACCACAGGAGGAATATTTATGCCTTACCTCAACAGGATGATGATTGGTTTTAATCGGTTTTGTCCTTATCTGACCTGAAGGACTTGTGCACAGCCGGTTATACTACAATTAACTACAGAATTCTTAATGCATTTGTAGAGAGATGACATTCGAAGATCTCGTCATTTCATCTCCCGCATGGTAAGATATCTATCACACTCGATGAGACTGTCTCATGTTTGCTACATCTTCTAATCAGGGGGAGATTCCTAGATCATGAGAGGATGGCCAAAGACGAGGCACTCAAGGTGATGGTAGAGTATCTAGGGGCTGATCCAGGGGAGGCGAACAAGGAGTTGGATAAGACAAAGGGTGCTCATGCTAGATTAGAATTCCTGAAGACGCTATATGATGTTGAGATCCATAAAGCACATGAGGCTGATGGTGATGATGAGTAGGTGGCGCTCCACAAATCGCATGTATTAAGAGCATACCTCTTTATTTGGTTGGCACTACAATTTTTTTGGACAAGAATGCCAGTTATACAAACGTCGTCTACCTACGGTACTTCGTGGATTTTGAGTGGATGTGTGAGTATAACTTGGAAGAGGCTTGCTTGGCCTACCTGTATTCAAAGTTGAGATATGGTTGTATGTGGAAGGCGAAGCTGGGCATAGACAGCGTCACATTACTGATAGTAATAATTATTGGTTTTTGAATATTTTTTTGTCATTTTCATTTCATTTTTACAAAACCATTACTGATGATTCGTGTACTCCAAACTTTCCATTTCAGGCTTGGATCCTCCAGCACTTCCCGTGCATCTCTGGTTGGGCGAGTGTAACCGAGTAGAGTAAGGATATGCCACGTGTTACTACTTTAATCCATCTCAGAGTGAACTATGCGTCTGAGCCTTACTGAGTTTATCTTGACCGCTTGGTTACTGAGGACATGCACTTCAATAACTATGTTGATCATCATGAGGCGCATCCATTTAACGAGATAATGCTATACTCTGGATGGTTGGCATGTGGATCGCATCTCACTGTTCCTCATTTACCCAAGCGCGTCATGCGGCAGTTCGACTACACTCAGACCATTCTCATACACCATGTTGTCTTTATTCCTCATGCCTTGACACGTAAATAGATAGAAGACATGTTTGATGATTATGAGAGTCATCTGGTACCGGAGGAGGTACGTGCTACCATAGTTGAGAGCGAATGAAGCTACATCAAATGGTACATAAGATGATTCTTTAAGGTGTCACATTTGTACATGGTACATGCTGCTCCAGGAGATCCGCTGAGACCAGCTCATCAGAAGATATTAGAGGAGTAATAGGAACAACTAGATCATGTCGAGGATCTATTTCCTAGGTGTCATCGCATAGTGGAGACTGCGCAAGTAGACATTGACACATGTATCTTTCCCGATGGGTCTGATGTGAGGCGGATCCTAGATGTCATCATGACAGAGTCACAAAGGGTATTGTTGTACCAAAGAAATCGCCGGAGGACATGACAGATTGATGGTCGAGGAGGTAGACGCAGCAGATGAGGTAGATGAGAGATTGTCAGACACACACAACAATCTCTTAGCATATTATAATAGTACTATGGTCTGTTTTTTATTTTAACGGTCTTACTACTGGATTGATCTCGATTGTATGACATTTTCGACATGAAAGACATATTTCTAAGATGTTACGGAGATGTATCTCCGATACAACTCAAATGTATAATGACTTTTGAGTGGGATGCATCTCACCCTATATGTTTTAAATTGTTACAGAGATATATTTCCGAAATATCTCAACATTTATTAATAATTTGACGTGTCTGAAGATGCATCTCAAAAATTAAAAACATTTAAATAATTTTGCATAGTATTTAAGAAAGATATAAAACACATTAAGAAATCCTCGTTATTTTTGGGGGTGCATTCGCTCAAGACGCTAGGCCCAATTGTCGATGACTATGAAAAGCTCATAATGAGCTTTTGAAATGGAGGAGAATAAGTCTATCTCAAGGGGGTGCCAAAATTAATTCCCGAGGAAGCCAGTATTCACCGGTTGCAACCTCTTCTTTTCACCGATTCCACTTACACATACCTCTACCACCACCACTTAGCCACTCTGATCACCGTGTCAACACCCTAATCACCAAATTCTCACCCCTTTTCAAAACCCACAAAGACCAGTAGACCACAAAATGAACCTTCATAATCACAGACCCTATCGGAATTCTCACTTCCATCAGCAGGGAAATGCTTTCCAATGGCATAATTCAACCCAGCTCGAGTGCATTTTCTTCCCCTGTGCTCTTTATTCGTAAGAAGCACAGAACGTGGCAATTTGCATAGACTACCATGCCTTGAACACCATTACTAGCAAAGACAGGTTCCCTATTCTGACAATTAACGAGTTTCTTCATGAGCTTTACGGTACTCATTGGTTTTCCAAGTTGGACTTGCGCTCCGGGTATCACCAGATTGGATGGACAAAGACGACATTAACAAACTAGAATTTCGTACTCACCAAAGCCATTATGAATTCCTGGTAATGTTGTTTGGGTTGTGTAACACCCCATACACTTTTCAATCCACCATGAACCTTATATTTGAACCATATTTGCGTTGTTTTGTGATTGTGTTTTTTTTATGACATTATCATATATAGCCCCACAATAGAGAGGTTGTTTTTCAATGCTTGCTTGATAACGAATTCTTCTTAAAGCAATCTAAGTGTTTCTTTGCCCATCATTCCATTGAATATCTTGGTCATATTGTATCTGCTATGGGGTTGGTTTGGACCCATCAAAATTTAGTGTCATGACTAATAGGCCAACACCTAAGAATGTGAAGCAATTACACAACTTCTTAGGTCTTACTAAATTCTACATGAAGTTTGTTCGAAATTATGCAACGCTGGTTGCTCCTCTTACAACTTTTCTAAAATATGATGCTTTTGTCTAGAATGATGCAGCTCAAAGAGAATTCGAGTTATTGAAAACTGCCATGTCTGAAGCACTTGTTTTTGGATTACCTAATTTTGATGACAAATTTTTCCTCAAAACTGATGCCTCTGGATCCGGAATGGACACAATATTGATACAAAATGGGCATCCTATCTGCTACTTCAGCAAGCAGTTCTGTCAGCGCATGCTGCAGGCTTCTACCTATGTGCGTGAGCTATGTGCTATTACAGCATCAGTTAAGAAGTGGAGAACCTACTTGTTGGGCAACACATTCACTATTCATACAAACCAAATGATCCTACGAGAGCTCATGACACATGTCATACAAACATCAGAATGACAGTTCTACTTGGCTAAGCTGTTGGGCTATTCGTACGAAATAGTGTAAAAACTTGGACCTCTAAATCGTGTGGCAGACGCCTTGTCAAGGTTACAATGCTTAGCTCTCACGGTTCCCCAATTGGATTTCATCACTAAATTCAAAGAAAGCTTAAATTTAGATAAATATTTTCAAGCCCTTCTAACCAAGGTTCGGGACAAGCCTACAGAACATAAGTTTTAGATTTTGGATGTCATGTTGTTTTTTAAGGGGAAGGTGTTTGTGCCCTCCACTTCACCACTTAAGCTTATTCTCTTGGAAGAATTTCACTCATCATCCATTGGAGGACATAGTGGAGTCCATCGCACATTTGGACGATTCCAAGATAACATGTTTTGGCAGGCTATGGGTCAAGATGTTGTGCAATTTCTAAAAGCCTGCTCCATATGTTAGAAGACCAAATCGGCAAATCATTCACCTTATGGTTTACTACATCCATTGTATATTCCGGATAAGTCTTGGATAGAGATCCCATTTTCCTAAGTCATTTTTGGCAAGAGCTATTTCGCCTTAGAGGTACGAAGTTGTGGATGTCAACATCGTATCACCCTCAAAGTGATGGCCAAACGGAGATCGTCAACAAAACGTTGCAGCAATACTTGAGGTGTTTTGTACATGATAAGCCCAAGTTTTTGGGTCAATTTCTACCATGAGTTAAGTGGTATTATAATACACCTGTTCACACATCTACTGGATTTTCCCCTTTCTAAGTGGTGTATGGTAGACCACCAAATCTGATGGATTAGGTTCCAGGATATACTACACTGCAAGCAATGGATGCCACACTGACCGATCAAGATGAAATCCTGCAGATCCTGAAAAACAAGCTGTTGAAAACCCAGACCACCACAGAAGAGTACGCAGATCAGAGACGAATTCCACATGAATTCAAGGTTGGAGACTTAGTATTTATCAAGATGTGACCATATAAGCAAAATTTAGTGCTAGGAAGCAAAGTCCATAATTTGTGAAAACGGTTTTACGGTCCTATCAAACAGATTTGTGCTATTGGAGAGGTAGCATTTCAACTAGAATATTGCCAAGCCCCAACAAGATTCATTCTGTGTTCCATGTATCAAATTTGAAACCATATTTTGATACATATGCAAAATCCTGAAAAACAAGCTGTTGAAAACTTACAAAAGAAAAAAAGGCTAATCCTTTCTAGAATCACCTCTAAGTGATTGCCAAAAAACAGGCCAATTCTTTTGTGCTTCAGTCCATCCCAAAAGCGACCCTTCCCTCAAAGGATCCCAACTAGCAGACACAATCCCATAACTCACACCCAAAAGAGCAGTCCCAAAAAAGATGAAAGACACAATGAAAGGAACCCAAGTTGGTACATCAATTTTCAAACCAACTTTAAGATAGTAAAAAAATGGAAAAAACAAAAGGCCAATACTCAATGGAATCCCCACAGAAAATCCCATTCTACCTATCATTCTGTTGGTCACTATTTCAGGAATCACTCCATCTCTCTCTTCTTCTTCTTCTTCTTCTTCTTCTCTATTATCCTCTTCTTTCTTCTTTTTGAGATTCTTAACTGTTTTAGTCTTTTTCTTTGGAGAAGCTCCAAATCCCTTCGAACCCTTTAAGGTTGCATGTATAGGTACAATGTGAGAGAAGCGAAATTGTGTTGTATGAATAGAAAACTGAGTCTTGTTGGTGAAAATCCAAATGTTATTGTGCCTAATATTCTGCAGATAATAATAAGAATCACAGACAGAAAATAAGACAAGATAATTGTTGAGTCCTATGTTGTAGTATCCTATGTTAATGATGTTTTCTTAAAATTGGTAAAATAAATGGAACATATAAAAGATTTTGAGAAACTGAATGGAGAAAAGAGTGAGAAGGAACCTTGTGAAGAAATTGTGGATTGAGAAGTGTGGAGGGAGTTGTTGTAGCAGTCATGATGAAGGTGAAGATGTTGGAGTGTTTCACAGAAGATAAGGTTGTGAGGGAAATCTAAGTTCTTTACCCCCACACTTTTTGCGCCACTTCACAAATTTGCTTCTTTTTTATATGCTGCATTATTCAAACGACACCGTAGTGTAGTTGAATTCAATTAAAAACAGAAACTTGTCTTGGTTTAATTTATTTTAAATTAGTTTAAATATGGATTTGCTTCTTTTTGTAAATTTTTTTTATTTGACTAAATTTTTTATAAATATTTTTTTTTCTGTTCTTTTATTTTAATCCAATAAAATTAGGTAATATTAGAATTATTTTGTAAAATATTAAATTTAAAGTTTTTATGTTATTAATAATGGATGAACTAAAATTATATATTTAAAAAAATAAAGATTAAAGAAAAAAATGTTAAATATATTTGTGGTTCTCGTAAATATCTCAAATTTTGTTTTTAATCCCTTAAAATATTTTTTTTAAAGAATGTTTCTCATAAAAAATTTCATCACACTTTTCGTTCCTCCTGTAACTTAGTAACGGTTTTTACAATTTAGTGTGGATAACAAATTTTAGGAAAATCATTCTTTTAAAAACAATATTTTGAGAGACTAAAGACAAAATTTGAGATATTAAAGAGAACCACCAACATATTAATTAAAAAAAATATATTATTATACGAGACTATCTAAATACAAAAAGTGCGAAAAATGCAAATTAAAGAGAAAGTGGCTAAAACTCACTATGAACTCAAAGAACGAGAGAAAATATGAGATTGTCTAATGCGAAAGATAGTGGGATCTATGGTTGCAATGGAGTGACAAATTTGTCATTGTTAAAGCACTTCAAGGTACAACATTGTTTATTTGATTTTCTAAGCACTTAAAGGTGTCAATTTCTTTAGTTTTTATTTTTCTTGAGCTTATTGAATGAAGTGACTGAGAGATCATAAAATCGAAGATTGAGACAAGATGAGATTGATAAAAAAAGGTAGTGTGCACGAGAACTCTCAAGACAAATTAAAAGTGGTAAGGGTGAGTGTTGGTGCAAAGATAGAATAAATGATGAAATAGGAAATATTACTAATAAGAGAATGACGGCTAAAAACATGACATTAGGTTACAATGATTGTCACCCTATTTATAAGCTAAAACTAGGGTTACTAGAATAGGATAAATACTAAAATACCCTCTAACAAACTTATGGGCTAAGAAAATAGTACAACTAAATAAATATGAATTATCATTAATATTCTAATACCATCCCTTAATTCATATTCCATCAAAACTTGTAACACCAATTCCATCCCTTAATCTGAGAAATTGATCAGTCTTGATAGCTTTCGTCAGAACATCTGCCAACTGCTTCTGAGTGCTGCAGTGTACAACTTCTAACACTCCACTCTGAACTTGATGTCTCAGAAAATGATACTTGGTCTCAATATGCTTGCTTCTCCCATGCAGCACTGGGTTTCTGGCAAGGTTGATTGCAGACTTGTTGTCAATCATCAACTTCAGAGGTTTGTCTACCTTAATCTTCAGATCCTGCAACAGATTCAGAATCCACACAGCTTGGCATGCAGTAACAGCACCTGCAATGTATTCAGCTTCACAGGTTGACAACGCCACAACAGGTTGCTTCTTGGAACACCAAGAAATGGGACCTCCCAGAAATTTGAACAAGTACCCAGATGTACTTCTTCTGTCAACTCTGTCTCCACACCAATCAGAGTCTGAATAACTCAGAAGTTCTGACTCATTATTTCCTCCGGAGGGAAATAACACTCCATACTTCAGAGTTCCTTTGATATACCTCAGAATCCTGACAGCAGCTTGGTAATGGGACCACTTAGGTTTACTCATGAACCTACTAACCATCCCAACTGAGTAGCAAATATCAGGTCTGGTATTGCACAGATACCTCAGAGAACCAACCAACTGTTTGAAGGTTGTAGCATCCACATCCTTTCCTTCAGAGTCTGAATCCAGTTTCTGATTTGTATCAGAAGGTGTGACAGCCATCTTACAATTCTTCAGATCAAATCTCTTCAGAAGTTCTAATTCATACTTGAGCTGATGCAAAATGATACCTTTCTCAGAATATCTGAACTCCATCCCTAGAAAGTATGTCATTTTGCCTAGATCAGTCATTTCAAATTCATTCATTAGAACCTTCTTGAACTTGGCTATCTCCTGTTCAGAACTTCCAGTCAATAGTATATCATCAACATATAAACATACCAGAGTCATATTGCCTTCAGAAGTATGCTGAACATAGACACCGTACTCCATCTCACATTTCTGAAAGCCTTGTTTCTTGAAAAATGAATCAATCTTCTGATTCCAAGCTCTGGGCGCTTGTTTCAGTCCATATAGAGCTTTGTATAATCTGTACACCATCCCTTCCTGATTCTTTTTCTCAAATCCAGGAGGTTGTGACACGTAAACTTCTTCTTCTAATGGACCATTCAGAAATGCAGATTTTACATCTAAATGCATCAGAGGCCAATTCCTGTTAGCAGCTATTGCAATCACCATTCTGATTGTTTCATGTCTTGCTACAGGTGCAAACACTTCAGAATAATCCAGCCCAGGTTTCTGTAGAAATCCTCTGGCTACCAACCTTGCTTTATGTTTGCCAATTGAACCATCTGGCTTTAACTTCTGCTTGAAAACCCATCTGACGCTGATGGCTTTCTTGTCTTTTGGAAGTTCTGTCAGCTTCCAAGTCTTGTTTCTCTCTATAGCATCAAGTTCTTCTTTCATGGCCTTCAGCCAGAGCTTCTGCTTAAGAGCCTCCTCTGTACTTATAGGTTCAGAGTCTACTAACATGGCACACTGAATAACTTCTCCTTCAGAGTCTACTTCAGTGTCTTGCAGCATGTCAAATTCTGCAAATCTTCTGGGAACGCTTCTGATTCTTTGTGGTCTCTGAACTTGTTCAGAGTCTTGAGCTTCAGAGTTTCTAGCTTCAGATGATTGACCTCCAGAGCTTTGACCATCTTCAGAGTCTGGCATATTTCCAGAGTCTGAATTGCCACCAAGGTCTGGATTGCCATCAGAGTCTGAATCATCAGAGTCTGGGTCATCAGAGTCACCTTCATCTTCTGAGTCATCTTCAGAGTTTGAATCAGTATCAGAGTCAGAGTCAACGTCAGGGTTTACTTCAACTTCAGAAATTCTTAACTCTGGCCTTTCTTCAGAGGTTCTAACATCAGAATCAGATTGAGACTTATCCCAATTCCAAACTTCTGATTCCTTCACAATCACATCTCTGCTGAATTCAATTTTATTGGTTTCTGGACAATAGAGCTTGTATGCACCTGTACTGTGGTACCCTATCAGAATCATCACTTTGCTTCTATCATCCAGCTTCTGTCTTCTGGCTTCTGGAACATGTTTATAGCAAACAGAACCAAATACCTTCAGATGACTAACACTTTGCTTGTCTCCAGTCCACTTCTGCATAGGAACTATTTCCTTCAACTTCTTCGTAGGACATCTGTTGAGTACATACGTTGCAGTGGCAACAGCTTCTCCCCAGAGCTTCTGAGGAAGCTTCTTCTCCTTTAGCATGCTTCTCACCATATCAAGCAAAGTACGGTTTCTTCTTTCAGCAAGACCATTGTGTTGAGGGGTATAAGGAGCAGTAACCTCATGCTCAATTCCATTCTCCTCACAGAACTTCTGGAACTCTTTGGAGTTATACTCACCTCCACCATCAGTTCTAAGAATCTTCAACTTCTGACCACTCTGATTCTCAGCCTTCATTCTGAACTTCTTGAATTCATCAAACACCTCGTGTTTGAACTTAATAAGGGATACCCATGTCATTCTTGTGAATTCATCAACAAACAACACAAAGTATTTATTCCCTCCAATTGATGCTACTGGAAATGGACCACACACATCAGAGTGTACAACTCCGTGAATTATCATTAATATTCTAATAGTGAGAACAATATAATGGATTAATATTTTGATAGACAAAGCATAAACAGAGATAGACAAAGCTTTATACGAAAAACATCCTTCTTATGACGCTTTGTAGAAAAAGCTTTCTAGAGAAGCTTGATAGACAATTCCTTCTAAATTTTTACTACATCTTTTATTGGTGTGAAACTCATATTAAATATTTTGGAAAATCATTTTTATAAAAAATTTAAAACTTTGAAACAATTTCAAGTTTGACAATAACGGTAGATAGAAGCTTCAAGACCTTTGATGTTGTCTATTCTTATGATGCTCAAAAACTTTCATTCGACATTTATTTATAACATAAGGTGTTAATAGTTTTGCTTTGAATTTTCAAATACCTTTCACTGTGCTTAATGCTTTGGCTGAATTCCTCTTGTCTTCATTGTTTCAAGATGTTGCATCTAAAGTTTAGAGTTCACGAAGAATAAAATGATGGTGAAATCGTATGTGTTTTCATTGTTGAATTGAGGACTCATTTAAGTTGCTATTTGTTTTTTGTTTTTAGATATTCTGTGTTGGATCATGCTCTGTCCTATGGCAACATAGTTTTGTTAAAGTTAAAATTATACCTTTTTATCAATAACTTATTTGTTTACACGCCATAATTCAGAACCACTGGTTTTTCTCAGGTCTCGCTATCATGTGACGCTTCTGAAAGCTTCTCTTACAACCTTTTGCTATTTTTATGTGCACAACTTTTTTTTCTATTATAGTTGTGTTCGCTACATCAAATAACGTTTTTTATGACAGAACTTTCACCCTGAACAATAGAAAACTGAAGTATAAAGTCAAGGCACACTAATTTTTATTATTTAAAAAAAAAAATATATCAACTCCCTCGGTGTTTAAGATAACCGAGGTGAAAGAACAACTCAGTACAAGTTTCGATTCCCAGCAATTGCAGGTTATGATTTTATTTGTTTATAAGTATATTAAACCACCTCAAACTCACAAGCATCATTCTTTAGGATGGATTGCAAAAAAAAATCTTCAATATTCTTCTATCTTGAACAAAACATTTTTCTGCCC